TCAAAGCTCCAGCCCTTGATCACTTCAGCCCTTGAAGCTTTTGCTCTGGCGTTGGCGTTGGCCATGATAGCAATTGTGATTACATACTGATGGGGACAGGGGGCGATTATCTCACAGATAACCTCGATTGGATACCGAGTACATGGGACCGCGCTATACCGCACTGAGCTTAGAGAACTGGTGATGGATGCGTGGATGCTAAATCCCGCTGATCTGGGGGTTGTGTGCCACGCCTCTTCCACTTCTTGCCCTGCCGGCTTCAATCCGTAGGCTTACAGGTCATGATCACAGGCTCATACAATCTTGGTGATAAGGAAATCGAGGGTCATCGGGAAGACAAAAGTACTCGATCCGAGACGGTTGGTGTGTTTATCTTGCTCTCTCCAATAAGCCTTTTGGCATAACTGTTCAGATAAATATGGTGAAAAAAAGTGATGGCTTGAACATGACGCGACTATGAAGAAGCCCAGTGGTTCCGGCGGCTCGTATGACATTGGAAGGTGGCCCGCCGTGCACAATAAGTGCACTCTTCAGCTTCGCTGCGAATCAGTGGGATGGGCCCCTTCAGGTTAGTGAGAAGGAAGCCAGCAGGGTGCTGGCCCTCAACGACAAGGGCCGCTGTGGCAAGTCGCAACACTTTTGTGATTATCTTCGGTGCATTTGGCCCTGCCCTGCCGCGTACCCGTGTCAGTCAGCTATCACAATGGGAGGACACTTGGTCAACGCCGTTCCGGACCTTGAGTGGAGAGATCGCGATTGTTTCGCCTGCCTTTGGTCACCTTCGCCTCATGCAACCTCGACCGGGCAGATCATGTTGCATACGGGAGGATCTAGCCAAAGGCAGATGGGATCACATAGCAGCGTTGCAGCGGTGAGTGTATCGTCGCCCCCGTTCATCTGGAATCGTAGATTGGCCTGATCAGCCGATTGTGATTGAGCTTGGCAACCTCACAATCCTTCTGCAAGCTCGACATGATTGCATTCATGCACACGCCGAGTCCTTTGGCGATGACTTGAGGGCGCCACTGGGGCTGACCCCTCCCTGTCTCCCTGCTCCGTATATGCTGACGCCAGCCTTTATTTCTGCACCCTAGCTTTACTGCTTGCTGCTTGAGCGGGTGGAGCTGCGCTGCGTCCGGGATGCAGGTGGCTAATCCACTGCCACCAGCTCCCGTAGATCGGAGAAGGCTATGGCAAGGCAAGGCACACCCGCTTGCAGCCGCTTTGACACATTTGACAGCTTTGATAGCAAGAAAGCTCCGATAGATCAATCCGAAGACAGAACACCGCCGTGCGGGGGGCAATCCTGGGGGGACGAGCGACATTCAAGATGTGCCTCGAGAGTAACACATCTGGCCCTGGCTACCCACAGTGCTTGATGAAAATGACCAGAAACTCTGGGCTAACGCATTATCGATAGTGTAACGCCAATGTCACTTCAAGTGCATCACAAAATATGACACAAACTAGAACCAGAAAGGGTGCAACTGATCGATGCCGAAATGGCCGATGGCCGGTGATCATCGCCACCGAGACAGACCCCCCCCCGCCTTTCTGGTGTACCTCACTTCTGCCTAACCCCGGTCGGCTACCATCATCAACTGGATTAATGATGCCTGCGTTCTTTGTCCAGGAAGCTTTGGCACGCCATTCACCAACCAAACATGTGCCAGGCTGTGAAGCCTGGATAAATTGAATCCTCGCACTGGTCGAGAGACAACAATCCCCATCGCCCTCGGCGTCTCACAGCAGATTGCAAGTGATACACAGTGGGGGGCTCAGGTCATTTCTCACATCTCGCCGACAACCCGCATGCTATATCACCCAACGAAACGGACCGGTCCCAGCTTGCGCGCGGACTACATAGTGGATGAGATTTGGTTAATGAGGAACCCGAGAACCAGGTAATTGTGCCCGCGGTTCTGGTGGCGTGCGCGAACATACATAACACAGCAACTTATGCTCTTCCCGTGTTGCGTTGCAATCAAGGAGCCTTTGAACATAGTCGCGAGTAGACCCATCTTTGCCATATCAAGCTTGAAAATCGAGTTGACGGCCTTGTATTGCTACGACATACTGCTACTCTTCCTCTATTTCCTATGTTTTACGGATTCATTTCCTGGCACCCAGACGGACGACCGCCGATGTATGGCGGCCATTGCAACCGTCTCGAAGAGGTAGAACTCCCGAAGCCACAACATGCATCGCTGCGTGGTAGCCGCCTGGAGGCCAAGAATGCCTGCTTACCAGGTACCTCTGGGCTGGCGTCTCGGCTTGCTGTTGCCCGTCATATTTGCGGCGTTTGGAGATATTTTCAGCCCTCGCTGCTTCAGATGACAGTGCACCGCAGGTTTTTCTGCAAACGAATGGACCGCAAGCAGAGGAGCAAGGTGGTGCGCCTCACCGTACGGCGTATCTGCCGAACGTTGCCCTGAGTCTGATCAGCAACAAACATCGCATAATGATCTCAGGCTCAGGCTGGAGTCCCTGGATCGGCGACGGCTGCAGGATTCTCGGAGCTCCGCGAACACTGAGAAGTCAGTGCTGAGGAGATCGGCTTCTGGCCAAGATGATGAATCACCGGCGACGTGCATCTCGAAGCGCAATACGACAGACGATAGACTTCACCGGTCATCTCAGCAACTCGAAGATCACCCGGGGTCAGCTACTGACGTGTTTCCTCCCGTTTCGTCGTCTTCTCCAGTGCTTAACTGCAGTTGCTCGTACCCTACCTTGTCTTGATCAGTTTTCAACCAGCACACATGCTTCCTCCAAGCGATGCAGCAAACCAGGGACCAGGAAACCTCGGAACCTGTGTCCGTGGCATGAAGATCAACACCAATCCCGGAGCCCTGGATCGGGGAGTCCATGTCCCTCTACTGGTACCTTGTGTATTTCGATCTCCGCTGTTTGGAAAGGCACAAGCTCACTAATGCTTTGGCACCCAGCTTGCAGACAACCGATACGGTTAGTGCAGGGATCCTTGATATGCGGAATGCATGCGAGGCGGTGTCGTCAAACCTGTTCCTGTTCGGAACCCTCTTCAACGAAAGGGTTGAAGGATGTTGCGCAGACGGCACCTGCAGGACGGCACAACGAGCCAGTAGTGCGCCACCGGGGCTCTCCCGGTGCATGGCACCCTGAGCTTTCTTCTTCTGGACATGCGACGCGAAAGAAGCCTCGACGTAAGACTACTATAGAGGGGCTCGCCCAGGGTTCTCGCGCTGCATATGCAGTGATGCGTTGTCACAACCGGACGGGTCGAGACCGCCCGGTCAGACAGGCAGGCTTGTGTTATGGTTTGAGTCGATACCTGTCCCTGCGGGGTTGACGTAACATCTCACAACGAGTGAGAGGTGAGGAGACAGGAGGGCCAAACAACCCAAAAGGAGATGCTGGCATAGAGCTGTGGCGTGAAGTACAGTGGCCACCATGTGCGGATGCAGAGCGGACCGGCCCTTGAACACGCCTGATCCCCGGTCATCAAGGCATTGTATGAATGCGAGTATTCGTTTAAAGAACCCAGCCTGCGTAAGTGGTGTTCGCGCGTCCTCACAAAAAAGCATAGCCGCCCTAGACGCCCTCAGCCGCATCAACGCACGGTTTTATTAGTTGTTGGCATCCTAAGTACCCCCTTTGATGGTGATCATCGGTTTCTGATAAAACGCGACCGTCAGCAGCTTTAAAGTACACTGATAAAAATGAACAGGTCAACAAAGAGACGGAGTTTACTGATGTGAAAACCAACAATTTCTGTACACCGTGGGGGTCGATCATGGACTATGTGCGTAACATGTGGTGAAATGCATCCTGAACATGGTTTGCGTTGACTTGACAGCTCTGTATCTGTCTTCCGCGACAAGAAAATGGTTCTGATGGCAAGACACTGAGCTACATCGGTACTGCATGATTTCGGACATGTGACCTTGGAGGCAGAAGAAAAAGATTGCACTTGAATGTCGCGTTGTTGATAGCTGAATATACCAACATCGTTGCGCATCCCATAGCTGCGCCGAAGACTTTACCAGCGACACAGCGTCGGTGCCAGTGAAACGAGACAGAGGCCAGGGCAGGGACAACATCTCGTCCTCGCTGACAGCTGAGGTGACACCATGATTTCATGCCGGCAATGTGGAGCGAGATATGTGGCTTCATGCTTACAACCTCGATGGTGGAGGCCTCTCCCAGTGATATGCGGCCCACGTCAGGTTTCTGCAAAGACCGGCTGCATTCAGTGGATAGCTTGTCCAGGCGCAAAAATTTGGTACCTCCACTCTCTTTTGCTCTGAAAATCTGCTCAAGGTGAGGACAGCCGTGAACCACCAGAGAGTCGCCAGCCTGTCCAGCAACAGCCGGCCGCACAATCCACTTCGTTATTTGTAACCGCCATGGAAAAGACGCCGTGCAACCATACCGCCAAGACGTTGGAGCTAGACGTAAACAGCAGTTGGGCATCGTTTCGGGCATCGTCTCAAGCTTCACAGAGCTCATGCTCCATTGCCACCAGCGAAAGGGGTCGCAACGCATCAGAGATTACCTCCGCGCCGTTGTGTCGCAGGCGCGGCAGCGCACATGTCTTGTGACACGAATTGCTTCCCGCTTTCCGCTGCTTTCGGCCCGTTAAACCTTCGATGCAGAAGTCGCATCGTCGACGCGCCCCCCACTCAGCCTGATGTACATGTACCAGCAAGCGCATGCCGTGATGCAAGCCCCCAGGCTTGAGCGTTCAGCTCATTTGGATATGAGCCTCAGCTGGAAAGGTTCATCAGGCGATCTGCATCGGGAGTGTGCGTCGGTACGAGACGCATATGCTACAGTGGCTTGGGAGACAGAAGCATCTAGAAGGTGACTCGAACGGACCTGAATCGATGGGAAGGACTGCCACATAGCGAAAGGATAAACCAAGAGTGATTTTGAAGGGCATCGCACTGCTGTGCGACGAAAAGGGGCAAACTTGAGTCAATGTCGGAAGCAGCACCAGCAGGCGATGGTAATATCGACTAGAACTTGCGCTTCTTCCGAGCGGGGCCCGCGTTGGCCTTCCTCTGCAACTCCCTCTGTAGTTCGTCTCGTTTCTTGTTGGCTCGGTCTTCTGAAGTCTCTCTCGGTTCGATGTGTTCCGTCCTTTCTGCAGGTCGCCCGCGCGATCCAGTAAGAGCATTTGGAGAGGCGTCGTTCGTGATCTTCTTTCCGATCTGACCCAGCTTACGAGTAACCGGCTTGCTATCGGACGGAACTGCGATGGCATCTGTCGATTGAGAGGCGGGAGCCTTGGGCGCCTTGGGCGGCTTGGACTTTCCAATGTGACCGAACCCTTGCTTCTTGGAAAGAGTCGGCGCCACAGGCGACGATGGTGCTTGTGGTGGTAAGCTTAGGTGCAAAGGAGCAGCATTGTTGTCATCAGAGTTATCGGACTCTGTCTCTGAACCTGGTGGTAGCGGAGGCGGCTGTATTGTCTGTCTCTTGCTTTCTAACACACCCAAGTGAATGGATTCATTCTTGTTCTCCGGCATTCGCGAGGAGCGAGACGGTTGCAGAACGCCATGTTCTTCTTCATCCTCAGTGGAATCATCATCAGCTCTCGGGTGGGCAGGTTGCTTCTCCGATGCACGTGTCTTAGCCGAAGATAAATGTGGCGGGGTGGACTGAACCTGGAAGTCATCTTCGTCCTCTGGCTCTACCGACTCGAGAGGCGAAGTCTGCTCTTTGTGTGAGGCTGCTTTCTTCGGGCCAACGATAGGTATAGCCTGGCCGGCCGCCACTTTTGTCCACCAGTCGTCAAGGGCAGGCGAGTCGCCGTAATTCATCTCGGGCACCGTCAGGGTCGCTTCCGCTTCAAAGACGACCCCTAGGAGAGAATTTACATCGCAAGGCGCCTCATGATCGGCCGCCAATTGAGCTAGCCATTCGGCTCTTCTGAATGGAGCGAGTCCTCTCACCTTGGCTTCGGCGGTCTGTCTCGAAACTTTCTGCTTGGCCGAAAGAGCTGTGAAGATGTTCTCGAGACGTGTGCCGGTAGCCTCCAACTTATCCAAAAGTTTGGTCATAACAACATCTTTCTGTTGGACAATCTCAAGTAGGGAGTTGACTTGTCTGATGCGGGCGTGTTCGGCTTGCAGGAGCGGCAACACGAGCTTGGTGCCGACGTGGGACGGAGCACATCTTTTGAAATACATGGGCCATACAAGAGGCTGAAGTCCAGGGACCTCGCACGTGATAACCAATGCAAGGGAGTCGTTGTCTGTCACCGAGAGACTCATGCGACTACCCTCGTGGTGCGCGTGAGAGGCGTCAAAAGCGGAAAGAATGCGTGACAGGAAAGCCTGCATGTTCTGAGGGCTGTCTGTCGGATCAATGCTCGTGTCCTTGGCGAGGCTGCGCTTGTAGATGGCCCGACGATCCATCTCCTCAACCCATACGTGAGCCATGTCGGAGATTCGTACCACATAGGAATCGGCCGTGAACTCAGTTGCGACCAGCAAGTCCGGCACATCCGAGGGATATGAGGAGGGTAACTGGTGCCACGCTGCAGAGTGTGCCATGGCGATGTTTTCGCCGAGTCCAGGAGATGTGGAAAAATTCAGGCAATAGGAACCCCGAAGGTCAATGTAGCCAAATCGTCCAAGCCTGGTGGAGCGCTGTTGCTTGACAGTTCGGGTGGGTTAGAATCTCGATCGACTTTGTTTTGTATGGTCCCAGCCAACATGTAACATTTGTCTGTTGGCGGATTTCAGGCTTTCAGGAGCAAATGGTCTGGAAAAGCAGGCCGAGGATGATGTCGACCGCAATGGCGACGCGAACAAGCTAGATGCAATACAGCTGGAAGTATCTCAAGCGGTGAGGGGTTGCTAAAAGCGGAGCCAGGTGCATGCGATGTTGAGGCACGTAAATGCGAAGGTCGAAGCCTGCAAGCAAACGAGTTGAAGAGAGAGATACACGACACCAGGCGCTGTTCTTATGAGAGTTGAAGATGGAGGCAGGACTGATGAACGACATCGGCGGCGCTCCTGAAGATTTACCATCGCCAACCTGGCAAGGGGCATGTGCGACAGGCAGCCACGTACAGTGTCAAGCTTGCACATACTGTGCGGTGCATGTTGCCCCTGTGCGACGGAAAAAGAGTCACTCTTACTTTCATTGATGGTATGTTGGTTATGACCCAATTCAATGCCTTACATACAAAGAAATACATTATATTACTGACCCCCTTGACAAGGTATTTCGCTACACTGACCTCTCTCAACATCCAGGAACTGATTTGCACAGCACACGCGACTACGCGTGGCGATCGACATAAAACAGCGAACGACAGGCAGGCTAAACCCGCCAGCATCAGGCTATGAATCGTGCCAACAGCTGCGCCAGGTCTCATATGCAAGCCACCCCCACCGAATCCACCAGGACACTGTCACCAGCCTCAACACTCTGACGTCGTGCCAACCATCTTCACGGCACCCTCGCCATGGGCTTTTCTTCTGAGGTTGAGAAAATATTACTACAATGTGTGCCTATCCCTTTCGTCGAAGCACCTTGCGTCGAAACCCAGAGGCAAGATCTCTCTACGTCGCGGCCACTCGCCTACCAACGGTGTGGCGAGTGCCACGAAGCCCCTTCCTTGGCGAGTGATTCCTTGGCAGTTTGACAGTAGCGGACTGGCGCTATCGATTGGCTTCTCACTTGATGATCCTGCCAATAACCTGCTTGGGGAACGTCACACAACTCATGCAACCCTGCCAGCCAGTTGACAGCACGTTGAGAAATCAGCTGCTAATGTAAGGTACCTTCCTTACCTTACTGCCTTGCCGTACGCTGCGGTCGATGAGCCATGTAAAGACAGAGTTCCCCCTCTCTCCGGAGGAATTCGAGCATCAGCGGCCCCTCCATCCTCACCTCCCCCGTACACAGTGTATGCTGGTAATTTCCTCCAACTCACTCGTATCACTTCTCGGACGGCAAGCCAGACTTTTTTTCGTCTTCACGCCATGGCTCAGCCGCCCAGCGGTGCCTTCGCAACCTGCCTGAACGACGTGTGCGATGGCCGGTCAGGGTGCGTAGGCTACCCGAGCGATATCCTGTACCAAATCAAATGGGTTGATCGCTATAACCTCGACATCAATCTTGAGCCCGCTGCCGTCACAAGACCCGAAAGTACTGGAGATGTCGCAGCATTTGTCAAGTGTGCCTCGGAGAATAATGTGAAAGTCCAGGCTAGGTCTGGAGGACATTCTTACGCGTAAATACGTCTGGGTTGCTGTCGTTTTGAAGCCCTCGATGCTGACTGTATCAGAAACCATGGATTGGGTGGTGAAGACGGGGCGCTTGTCATCGATCTTGAGAACTTTCAGCACTTCTCAATGAACCCAGATAATTGGCAAGCGACAATCGGAGCAGGCCACAAACTACACGACGTCACCGAGAAGCTCCATGACAACGGTGGTCGAGCTATCTCGCATGGCACATGCCCAGGTGTGGGACTTGGTGGTCACGCTACGATTGTGAGGAGTTTTGAATGATTCCATCTGCTGGTAGAGCACTAACAAAACTACTATAGGGTGGCCTCGGGCCTTCATCACGTATGTGGGGATCCTGCCTTGATCATGTTGTGGAAGTCGAAGTCGTTACAGCCGATGGGAAAATCCAGCGCGCCAGCGAGGACGAGAACTCAGACCTCTTCTTCGCCCTCAAGGGGGCTGGTGCCAGTTTCGGCATCATTACGGAATTCGTCATGCGCACCAACCAGGAGCCGGGTGATGTTGTCGAGTACACCTTCTCACTGACCTTCTCCCGTCATCGTGATCTATCCCCTGTATTTGAAGCGTGGCAAAATCTGATTTCTGACCCTGACCTTGACCGTCGTTTTGGGTCTGAGTTCGTCATGCACGAACTGGGTGCTATCATAACTGGCACTTTTTTTGGCACTGAGGCAGAATTTGAGGCAACAGGCATTCCTGACCGCATCCCCACCGGGAAGAAGTCCGTAGTAGTCAACGACTGGCTTGGCTCGGTCGCGCAACAAGCCCAGGATGCGGCCCTATGGCTTAGCGATCTGAGTACCGCCTTCACTGCGAAGAGCTTGGCATTTACCAAGGACCAGCTCCTCTCTTCCGAAAGTATCAAGGACCTCATGGACTACATTGACGACGCTAATCGGGGCACCCTTATCTGGTTTTTGATTTTCGATGTAACAGGTGGCCGTATCAACGACGTCCCGATGAACGCCACGGCTTACCGTCACCGCGACAAGGTTATGTTTTGCCAGGGCTACGGTATCGGCATTCCAACACTGAACGGCAGGACTCGCGAGTTTATTGAAGGAATTAATTCGTTGATTAGGTCGAGCGTGGCAACTAATCTGAGTACCTACGCCGGGTATGTCGATGCTAATCTGGAGAGCCCACAAGACTCGTATTGGGGCCCAAATCTAGACACATTGGGCCAAGTTAAACAAGACTGGGATCCTAGTGATCTATTTTCAAACCCACAAAGCGTACGACCTGGGCAGAAGAGTGTTGTTAATTATTTTGATGACAGAGCGTCATCAAACGGCTCGGAGGAATCCAGCGGCGGGCTTAATGGCGGTACCCGAGATGAGCGGGGCGGGTGCTGGAGTTGGCAACGCAGCGGAGCTTCTTTTGCTGTTTTCGTTGCCCTGTTCGTCGTTATGGCTTTGGGGTTTCTCTAATTTTCCCTTTCTCTGGGGCGAGACCCTCACAATTCTTGTCGGTCTGGGTGATGCGCCAGTTGTTTCCTCGTCCTTCCCTACGCAAAACCACCCACGCTTTTTAAGGACGCTGGTAGTCCTCTTACCGAATGCAGAGATATTAACTTCTACCATATACCCTACATCTATGATAGATGGTGTGCCGCGGCTGCAACGTTTTCTAAAATTCCCTCTGCGCCTGCATATGGATGGCACGCTGTTCAGCAACACATCCGAGACTGAGACATGCTTCCGTGAGAGGCATCTGCAAGGATGCCCACAGCCCACTTAGCTCACAGGGCGGGTAGTCTCGGTCAACTCGGTGAACAGCTGACTCATTTGTCAAGACCCGCTATAGGCCAATCCACAATCTTCACGTGACTGATCGCTTGCCCGAATTTCGTAAGGGTTTCCCACCCCACAGACGAGCTGGGTGCAAAAACAAAATCTTCGGGATCCTGCTCTTGACCTCACCGACGCCGAATCGCCCTCACGAACACCCGTTGTCAACCCAAACACCCTCACAACCGATACAATGGCCAAGCTTTCGTAAGTTCTGCCTCCTCGACAACAACCTCTGCGATCGATCACTCGGAACTGCGACTGCTGCGACCGGTGGGCTGGAGAAGGGAACGGCGAAGGCGGGGGGACTGGAAGAACAAGGCTCAGCAAGAGGAGGGGTGGGAGATTGAGCCATCACGACGCCATGCCTTTGCCGAACCAACCTTAAAGCCCTACCACACGGCTATCGACAGAAAGCCATTGGACCTGACGACGAGCTCGACAATAATGTAGCAGTTTCCGACTGGACGATCGATCGCAGGGTCTTGACAGACGTACGGTGCAGAATCACACATGCTAACTTTTGCGCTTCAGGCGCGGTGCCCCCGGTGGCAAGCTCAAGATGACCCTGGGTCTCCCTGTCGGCGCGGTCATGAACTGCGCGGACAACTCTGGCGCCCGTAACCTCTACATCATCTCCGTCAAGGGTATCGGTGCCCGCCTCAACAGGCTGCCCGCTGGTGGTGTTGGCGACATGGTCATGGCCACCGTCAAGAAGGGAAAGCCCGAGCTGAGGAAGAAGGTCCACCCCGCCGTCATCGTTCGCCAGTCCAAGCCCTGGAAGCGTTTTGATGGTGTCTTCCTGTACTTCGAGGACAACGCCGGTGTTGTGAGTTTTCCCCTCTCCATGAATACACGGCTACAGACAATGCTAACACCTATAAGATCGTCAACCCCAAGGGTGAGATGAAGGGCTCTGCCATCACCGGCCCCGTCGGCAAGGAGGCCGCTGAGCTGTGGCCTGTGAGTAGCAACTCCCTTCACGTCGACAAGAATCTACTAACAAGTATGTCCCCAGCGTATTGCCAGCAACTCCGGTGTCGTGATGTAAAAGGGGAACTGTTTCGAGGAGGACAAATAACGAAGCTACGGATTTGGTCACCGATGCGAACGATGATACCGAGCAGGTCCCGCCGACAACGATAGAGCGAGGCGGGAGCGGACCGAGGGGGATGACCTGGCACGGGGACGGTTCTTTTTTCCTCGCTGGATTGGAAGGCTCTGCATTTTGGGCTGCGGCGTGTAAAGGGAGACTTCATACCAGGCATTCGCATCAAGGCAGATGAAATCCGATGATTTGAGCAAAGTCACATGATGCTACCTGCCAACCTTGCGTGATGTACACAATAGGTGACTTGGGTTTTATAAAACCGATTTCCACCATTACAGGTTACCGGCTGTGAAATTCAAAGGATCATTGTATAGAGTGTCGGGTAGCGACCTCAGCGATATCCCAAGCTCCTACTCACAGCCACTGTATTTGACGACGCCTATGGACGCTTTACACCTACCCCCTTCTCCATCCTCCCATCCTCCAAATCGTACAAAACTTGCTTAAGTATCGGAGCTATTCCCTTGGCCATCTGGATTACCACCCGGGCTTGGTTCACAGTAAGCAGGCAAAATAGTATCAAAGCTGTGCTCTCCAAAGCCCCCTCCCCGTTGTGTGCCACTGTACGCGGCCCCGTGCGGTACAGTAACAATTGGCTCTCGGGCCAACTCATGTGGAATGACGCCTCAAGTTGCCAATCCTGAACCAAATGATCCGCGGCTTCAGTTTGTCATTAATTTTGGTCATGGCCATGGTCAGATCGCGCCATCTAAAATCCCGTTCGAGACCAGTGTCGATCTTTGCTATACCCTTACTGCTGGAATTGGGCTCCGTTTGTAAATGGGCTATGCCCATTGGGCTGCGGAGGAGCAGGCGTAGCTGCCACCATTGCTGCCTGCGCATTGGCCGCCTTTTTCGCAGCCAAAGTAGCCTTCCTTTTATTGACAGCATTCTGCATACTGCCATTGAGCCAGCGTTCTATGCAATAGTTAGCTAGTCGTGCCATAGGTTTTGGCTTGGCAGATGTGCTGCTTACTCTTCATTGAAGCAGACATCTTCTGCGACTTGGTCATCAAGCGGTAGTCTTGGTCGTCGCCAGCCTGGCTCGGGGCAGCGGATGATGCTGCAGAATGTGGCGCCGATGGGGCAGCGGAAATAGGGGCGACGTGTACGGACGGCGCTACTGTTAAGGAATCACGACTTGGCCGTGAACCACGATTTACGCTCCATTTGTCGTCACCCATATGCTTGAAAGTCATCAAATGGGACGGTTCGCCTAGGGTGGCGCTGGCAGCTTGAGATGCTGCAGCCATATCGCTGAGAATGGCTTCTGATCGTATGGCCTTGTGCACTGCTTGGGGGCGAGTGGACGCTTTGAAGTTGATGCGTGTTTTCTTTTTCGGAGGCTGAATAGCTTCAACGATCTCTTCATCATCTTGTGCTTCGCTCCTTGAAGTACGCTGTCGCTTGTTCTGGCGAAAGCTGTACGTCGATCCGTCATCTGATATGGTGGCGTTGGACGAAGATGTTGTGGGTCGTGACTCGTCTGAGCTGTCAACAACTGTTTCGCTGCTGATCGGCCTGGAGCTGGTCGTGCGTGCATTCTTGCCGCGTTTTCTTGTGGTGCGGGCTCTCTTAGGTAGTGGTTCGTCTAGCTCCTCGGGTTCCGTGTCTTGAAGATCTGCTACGTCAGACTCAGGTTCTGCGACGATAATCTTTGGTTGCCGCCCGCGTTTTCGCTTTGGAGGCACATGAGCCAAGTCTGAGGTTGGCGTGTCGGCTTCTGCATCCACAGCTGAAGCCCTCTTCCCCTTTGGTCCCCGTTTCTTGGGCCCTGGCTTGTTCTTTGGCGCCGAGTCTTCATCCTCATTCGGGTGGTAGACATCCTCGGGGTGCGGATTGAGAGGCGGTCTGCCGCGCCTTTTAAGGATAGGCTTGGCAACGGTAGCGCCGGCGGCAGCTTGGTTCGCCGGCGTCGCGGAACGAACATCGTCTTGTAACATTCCTTCGTACAGTTTGGGCGGATTTCTTGACCTCTTGCCTGTGACCACCAGGCCATCTGCGTCACCTTCTGCGGCTTTGGCAGTCTGTTGAGGCTGGCTTCGCAGCTGTCTGCCTGCCATGATACCATCACGCTGGGCAATGGGGTCTTGCTGGCCAATCTTGGACGGGTGAGGATCATACTCATAGCCATAAGCCATGGCCTCAACCCTGTCCTGCCACCGCTGGTGGAAAGGTGCCCTGCTCTTTCTCCTTGATGGGAGCGCGATAGCCACGAGTATCGAAGTCTTTTTCAACATATGAGTCAATCTTGGCGAATTGAGAAAGGTTGGCCGTCTTCTTCTCATACTCGGCGTCCTGAATCTCACGTCTCTTTGCGTTCTCCGCGTCATCGACCTGCCGACCGCACTTTTGCCATTCTTCCTGCGAGACCAGAAGCGTCGTGTTGACGTGTGCAAGGAAGGCCCACAGCTCTTCCGCCGATATGTTGCTGTGGTCTTTGAGATATTCCCTGTAATGGGCTGGGTCACTCAGCTTGGGAAATCGAAACTGTTTCCTCATGCGTTGAATCCCAGCTGATACCACGGCAGCCTTGCTCTTGTCTTCGCCGGCCGACGGATTGTTGGCACCTGTCTGCTGCGCAGACGCGAATACAGGAGAACATGCTCGTGGGGTTTGAGACAGAGGCGTGGCAGCACCAGAGTCGACGTCTGCCAGGCCCTCAGCTTGGAGACTGTTGTCTTCTTCATGCTGAACAGTTTGCGATGCACTCTTGTCGCCGTCGTCCCGATCGGCCTCGTCCTCATACTGGTCAGCGTCATCGTTGGCGGCGGCATCAATCTTGTCGGCAGCTTCCTGCTCATCATCGTTTCCTTCACCATCGCCATCGGGCGCATCGCCGTCTTCATCAACATCACCTTCCCCTCCAGCTGTCGCCACCTGCATTGTCGGCTCAGGATGCAGGACGACTTCGCCTTCGACATATGGCGTCAAATGCGACCAGGCATAAGTCTTCACCTGGATCTCGGCATCGTCCGCGTCTACATCCATGTTACTAGGCCCATGGACATGGCTATCAATGCTTTTCCCTAGGTGTCCCTGGGACGGCTGTGTAGCCCCGTTCGTGAAGTAGTGCTTCTGCGTAATCGTGGTGTGCGTCTTCGAACCCACCAGGCCAGCCTGTGAGTTGTTTGCAACGGCATCGCCGTACTGTGTGCTGGGTGGCTCATGTCCAGAAGAAGCGTTCGGTGCAAGCTGACGCTCCGTATTATCGGCCTTGCCAGCAACATCGCTTTCGGACATTGTCTGGACGTGGGCTCGTTCGTTGACTGTCAGTTGCGCCGCGTCTCCGTCATCGCCGCGTCCATTCCGGTCTAGAGATGAGAAGCCTGTAGAAGGAGCTGTAGGTGCAGCGGCCATCTGTATATTGGGCTGCGCCCTCATGTTTGTAGGAACAACTGCAGGAACCCCATGGCCAGCGGCGGATTGTTCGGCTGACGAGGCACGTGGCGAGGAGGTGAAGTGAGCGGCTCGGCTAGATAGTCTCTCAATCTTCATGTCGGAATGCCGCTCAGCCTGTGTGTCTGAATCTTGAGAGAGCTGGGGAGCCGTGATAATTGAGACATGGTTGATGTGTATGGGTTGTGGATGTGCGATTTCCAGGCTAGCCTGGTCGTTGTCACGAGAATTGGCCTGCGCATCATGGTCTGGCTGACTGCTGTTGCCGAACCGATCGTATCGCTCGAAAGACGACGTCGGGCGTGCGTGTCCTCCGCCTGGTGTTGCAGATTGTCGCTTGAATTTTCTCTCGGCTGCTGGAGACTCAACCTTGGACTCATGGTCAGACACCTCGTCAGACGTGTGCAGATCGCTGGAATCGCCGACAACCTCAATCGTGTCCTTGACAACATCGTCTGAGGGATGAAAGTAGGGCTGCGGGTCTGCAAGGCGTTTGGCCGGGGTTTTGCGGCGACCGGCGGGAGTGTCATCTGTATGAGAAAACTCCCGCGAGTTGGCGCGCCGGCGCTGTGTGCTGGGCGGCGTGAAGCCGTCACCGACGACCTCGCTCTCGGCCCTTCGTCGACGAGTAGCGGTACGCGGGGCAGGGAGGGCAATCTCGGGAAGCTCGTCCTCAAAATCATGTGCTGAGTAGTCGATCTTGGCTCGCTTACGAAGATTGTGAGAACCCTTCTTGTTGGTCTCGTCATCATCGTCGGGATTGCCATCAAAGCCAAACGTGCGAATACGCTTCCTTCGAGATGCAGCGCCGCCAGAAAATGGCGAGGAGACAGTCTGAGCAGAGGATGAAGCAAAAGGCGTAGACAATTGCCGAGCGCCGCGTCGCCCGGCAGGGGCGGTTTGTGGTGTCTGGTGGGAGAATGTGGCAACTGGCGATGTCGACTGGGCGCTCTGAGGGTTCTGAGCGTAGTCCTCAGGGTCGGCTTTTTCTGCCATGTCAAAGCTGGTCGTCAGCGATGGCTGTGTTTTTCGCCGACCCAAGCGGCCAGCACGAGGGCGATCCATGGTAATTGGCGATGTTGCTGATGATGCGTGGTACAAAAAAATGGTGTAAATCTGAAAGGGTGGTAGTGGCACACTCAGGCTTAGTCTAAGATAAAGAGTAGCGACATGCGGTGGATCGATGTCGTAACAATCTCTTCACTGAGGGAAGGAAATGTGAAACAACCGAAAGAGACCCGAGAGGTATGATGATTGAGGTGACTGTTGCGAAGGGGAGAGAAAGAGCTGTCGCTGTGAATGTGTGGGATGGAGGCTGTCTTCTGAGGACAGACAAAAATCAAGTTGGATGGGGTGGCTTGGAGGTGAGAGAGCCGTGAGCTGTGAAAGGGAGGCAGGGGTTGTGCTTCTTTTTCTCGATTCGGGGAGGCCAAGAAATCCCCCCGAGTATTCAGAGGCTGCGTTCTCCAAGATTTGAGAAAAGAGTCGGCTCTCTGCTGGATGAGTATCAAAGCCTTCAGTAGGGTAGACGGTCTTCTGTCGAGGACCCTCGTCTCCGTCAGTCATTTTGCTTGGGACTGTAATTTGATTCCCGAATGGGCCACGGCTGCACGACTGGTGCCAGGTACGTACCTCCCCTGCTACCCTTCACTCAGAACCCACTCATTCCCCTTGGACTGGCGATCAGTCCAATGAACAATCGAGAAGGCTAAGCCGTTCGAGTACTAGACCTCACCTGGCCTAGCCCGTCCCCCCCCCACTGACAGCTTGCATGTCCTGGTGACGGATGCTCTGAGCTTCATGTTATCACGTTACCGAAACCAACGAACAGGGAGCACTGTGATTTTGTCTATTTTGCAGCCTCGCTGGTGCTCTCTGAACCGATTTGACAAAAGCATCAAGCCTTCCGATTTCGAAATCGCAACACAACCTTCTCCAGGCTCGTCTTGTCCATCCCTAGAGCCTCCCTGGCGTTCCCAACTCCAATCCCCCGGTAGCAAACACCATCACCAGAATCGTTACAATGACTTCCAAGAAGGGCAAGACCGCAGCCGCCGGCGACGACATTGATGACCTATTCGAGGGCATTGTTGACGATGCCCCGAAGAAGTCACTCGAAAAGAAGTCCAAACCTACGACAGCCGCCTCCAAGGCCATGGAAGACCAGGACATCTTTGCCGAGCTTGAGAAGGACCTCGAGCAGCCCTCCCGCCCACACACACCGCGCGTTCGGGAGCCTGCTACCAAGGGATCTCCTGCTCGACGGACTGCGACACCGACTGTCGCCGACGATAAGTCTGCCACAGCTCCCCGCAAATCCACCGACAGCGCCAGATCCTTGCGAGCCAGCTTCACCCCGAGCGCCACAAGCTCCGATGTGCAAGAGTCGGAGAAGAAGGCTGTTATCGAACAATCTGTTGCGGCTCCCGCTGAAGCTCCTTCTGGCGGAGGCTGGTGGGGAAGTGTCTTCTCCACGGCAACTGCTGCCATGAAGCAGGCAGAGGCCGCCGTAAAGGAAATCAGGGACAACGAAGAGGCCAAGAAGTGGGCGGAACAGGTGCGCGGCAATGTTGGCGGGCTCCGGGCCCTGGGTAAGTGATCATATTGCGGCTTCTCGCAGGCGTTTCTAACCGCGTTACCAGGAGACAACCTACGCCAGCAGGCCCTTCCCACCTTCACCGACCTCCTACACACTCTTGCTCCCCCAATCAGCCAGCACGAACGATTGATGATCCACATTACGCATGATATGGTCGGCTACCCTTCGCTCGATCCCCTAGTGTATGAAGTCTTTTCCCGCGTCATGGCTCAGGTCGAGGGCGGCGACCTGATGGTCATCCAGAAGGGCCAGGAAAATACCAGCCGGAGGTCGAACGATGTAGCTTCCGGCTGGCGTGACGGCCCTTGGTGGAAGCAGTCCGAGCTAGCTCGCGATCTCGGGCTGATCAAGGGCCTGGTGGAGGGCACCAAACTTTGCCGCGCCGGCGCCGAGGGCTATGCTGGCGAGTACTTCGCCGCGCATGGCGGCATTGGAGAGGCCAAAGTGCGAGCCACCGAATCTGTCAGCGAGACCAACCCTGTGCGCAGTTCGGATCTTTTCCTGGCGATCCAAGCCATAAGCGTCGATTCGGACGCTGCATTATTCGCACGCGCAGCCGCCATTGAAAATGGTCAGGATTCGCCTGCCGTTACTGATCCCAAGGAGACGGACAGTTTTGTTTGCTTCGCCGTTTTTGTGCTTGACCCTGTTCACGAGATAGAGTACTCCACCGTCAGTCAGACCATACCGGCGAAATGGGTCAAGTGGCTTGACGCCGCGAACCCTCTGACCCCTGGTAGCGGCGAAGATGGCGAAGACCAGCACCTGCGCTCGTTGGTCCCCGACGAGATTAGGGAGATTGTCGAGAGTGGTGGTGTCGATCCCAGGGAATGGGCTGCTGAGTGGATTGAGGAGCAGCTGAGTCTCGCCGTCGGCATCATTGCACAGCGATATGTCGCCCGAAGGATGGGCGTTAGCGAAGGTAGCATTGGCAAGGGCAAGAGGGGTGTTGGTGAGCTTGTCGAGGATGGCGCGGGTGAGGCAGCGAGGGCTGGTCTGATTTGAGTCGCGTTGACGCGCCTTGATGGCGTTGGGCCCGTACCGTGATTTATCATCGTTTATTTGTGGACCTGGGACTACGAGAATGAATGTCAACGACAAGACTCACGCGCCAGGTAGCATCCGGTGATGTGCTGTGCCTATATTGCTGATGCCTCAACTAGCCATGTACCTCATCGATATTAGTTTCCACAGCATCACCGCGCGGACTGGGAAGCAAGCACCTTGTGTCATCGGGCAACCTTCAATACTAGCTTAGGGCCAGCTTTGGCACAATTTCTTTCACACGACCAAATCTGCGACTCAAAAGTTTCAGTCAAATTCAGAGTTGACTGACAATACAATAGCAAGACTTCCATGTCGGCTGGCAGGATGTCGTGTCATTCATTTCTCGACTTTCAAGGTCAATGGAAAAGCGTCTTCGACAACGGGTGGGCACGGGCCGTTTTATTGTTTTGCTCGGGGCTACCCACAGGGCTTATGTCAGCCTCAGCAGGGTCTGGATCACTGTAGAAAATTTTACTACGATACTGCAAAGCTCTCTGCTTTCTACATTTCTCTCCCGTCATTCCTTTTTTTGGCCCCAAAGCCGTCCACGATTTTGACATGAATGGAGGCAGCGCGCTCAAGTGACCTGCTGCTGTACCATTGGAGCAACAAATTTGTGCACCTCGTGACGCCTTATCCGCCGTCCATCGCAGCATGAGATAGCAATCAACTCGGCCTTCGGGCAAAACATACGAGTCTTCGCTCCGCGGAGGCCCTCTACTGCTGTCGCGTTTTGCGATGCGCATCGAGGGTGGTTGCGATCGCTCATAGGCCCCTAGGACCTACTACTGCAATAGCAAACCCTGGACCATCATAGTCCGCGCCCGGATTGTCTCACGACATTGCGTCTACGAGGCCCTCCACCTGGGCGAGGCTCCAAGCGCTCCAACATGCCACCATGTTCCCCCCTCTGCACGATCAAGCCTGTGACAACTTCCCATATGCAGCGATTGGTCGTCTCTCTGAAGACTCTGAAGACTTGCTGTTCCAAGTTTTTTGGGACAGGCTGCGCGTTTACCAGCAGTGGGCATACACAGCTCCGCGATCGATCACGCTTTGTAGAGCGAAGCGGAGCCTGCATTAGTTCGCAGCTGTGGATGCCTTGCTGCGTGCAATCGCTGAGCGACTGAAGACGTCAGCGACAGCTCCAAGTGACCTTTTACGTTTCCCACCTGTCAGCTCGCATCACATGACAGGTCACTTGCTCAGGTTCCTCTCGATAACTTTCCTTCACACCACTGCGTATCCAGTTGTCTGCCAAGTTTTTCGATATCTTGACCACGAACCGTGTGCTTAAAACTTGCCAACGGACTCGAGACTCTTTACTGACACATCACTTTCGCGAGCATGGCAGCAGACGAGACATCCAGGTTCGCCCATCTGCCGCTGAGTACCAGGGGTGCCATCAAGTGTGCCATCACGGGCACGGCGCTTCTGAATACACCTTATCTCAACAAAGGAACCGCCTTTCCCCCGGATGAGCGCCGCCAGTTCAACCTTACCGGCCTCCTCCCAGACAACGTCCATAGCCTGGACCAGCAGGTCAAGCGAGCCTGGCGCCAGTACTCGTCTCGTAGCGATGACCTCGCCCGCAACACATTTCTAACCTCGCTCAAGGAGCAAAATGAGGTCCTGTACTACAAGGTCGGTCTGTAGCACGCTTGAGAAGCTTACCCAGCGATTGTTGATCATGTATATAGCTTCTGTTGGATCACCTAGCAGATGTGTTCTCTGTAGTGTACACACCCACCGAGGGCGATGCCATACAGAATTATTCCGAGCTCTTCAGGAGACCCGAGGGCTGTTTCCTCAACATCAAAGATGTCGAGCGAGTTCACCATGACCTGGCGCAATGGGGGCACCCTGAAGACATTGACTACATTGTTGTTACTGGTAAGCTGCTATCTCTTCCATCGCTCATGTCTCTACAAGAGTTCATACTCAAATACACACAGATGGCGAGGAAATTCTCGGCATTGGGGATCAAGGCGTAGGTGGCATTCTGATATCGGTGGCGAAACTCGTTCTCACTACTGTCTGTGCCGGCATACACCCGAACCGTACCTTGCCTGTGGTTCTCGACTGCGGTACGGACAATGAAGATCACCTCAACAATGAACTGTACCTGGGATTGCGACAGAAGCGCGTGCGCGGGGCCGAGTACGACCGCTTTGTCGACACGTTTGTGAAAGCCGCCCGTCGCCTGTATCCACGCGCATACATCCATTTCGAAGACTTTGGCCTTGCCAACGCCCGCCGTATCCTTGACCAGTACCGTCCTCATATCCCCTGCTTCAACGACGATGTACAAGGCACGGGTTGTGTCACACTGGCCGCTATCCTGGCTGGCCTCCACGTGAGCAAGCAAGAACTCACCGACTTGCGTCTCGTTATCTTCGGAGCCGGATCAGCAGGAGTCGGCATAGCTGATCAGGTTCGAGATGCTATCGCGGCCAAGGGCAACATCAGCAAGGACAAGGCGGCTGAACAGATCTGGCTCGTTGATAAGCCAGGCCTGCTTACAAGCGCCCTCGACGTATCGCCCGCTCAACAAGGCTTCTGTAAGGACGCGGCAGAGTGGAAAGGCAAGGACACATCGCTTCTCTCCGTTATCAAAACTGTACAACCTAACGTTTTGATTGGCACGTCAACTGTGCCCAAATCGTTCACCGAGGAAATTGTAAGAACCATGGCCAAGGGCGCCGAAAGACCTATCATCCTGCCACTTTCGAACCCGACACGGCTTCACGAGGCAGCCCCCGAAGATCTACTCAAGTGGACCGGCGGAAAGGCGCTCGTTGCTACAGGCTCGCCTTTTAAACCCGTCAAGGGGCCCTGGGGCGAGAACGGTTCGGAGGTGGAGATTGAAATCGCGGAATGTAACAACTCGGTCGTCTTTCCGGGTATAGGTCTTGGATCTGTGCTTTCCCGCGCCAGCCTCATCACAGACAAAATGCTCGTGGCGGCTGTCGAGGCAGTCGCGGGACTGGGCCCAGCCCTCAAGGATCAAAGGGCCCCGCTGTTGCCGGGTGTTGATATTGTACGCGACGTCAGCGTGCGGGTCGCGAGGAATGTGATCAAGGCTGCTGTTGCTGAGAATGTGGCTATCGAGAAGGACATCCCCAAAAATGACACTGACCTTGATGAGTGGATTAGGGATCAGATGTGGAAACCGGAGTATCGGCCGCTGAAGTTTGTGGGGATGGAGGATGCGTCCAGGGAGGCGAAGGGCCAGATGAGGGTAGCCGGCAGTGCCAGCCGGGAAGGCTCGTGGTGAACGCTACATATTCAGTATTTTTGTTATTGTGTACGACAGATTTCTGGCACATCAAGTCGTCCGAAGTTTATGCTCTAGTCACTTTGTAAGACAAAAGCCACATGAAACTAGGATCTGGGACAAGGTAGGCCACGAATGACCGCGTATTAATCTATGTACTAGATGAAAAGCTGCGTGCTCTCAGATCACGTTGCCGCGGACCTGCTTGATGGTCTTGAGGTTGATGTTCCTCCAGAAAGCGGTCGAGACAAGGGCACCGACAAGCACAGTGACACTAGTGATGAGCATGATTCGCTGCGAATCGCCGTATGCGAGTGCAATACCGTGACGCTCAGGGGTACCGTACCGGTACGCAAGTTGCGCATACATGTTGTTGTAGATGTTCTCGATGTTGTTGAATCCCTCGGGCATATGCTTGATAAGGTTGTTCTTGAAAGTGCCTGTCCAGATGGCGGCGGCGACGGTGGAGCCGATGGCCATACCAACGCTGCCGAATAGGTCAAGAATGGCGATGATGACAGCAATGTGCTGATGGTCTGACGGTGCCATCATGGCCATCTCGCCGCAGAGGACAATGGGACCACCTGCGAAGGCGATGAGGATCTGAGTCATGATAACATAGCCAATGTCCTGATCAGGCTGTCGGAACTCGATCATAAGACCAACGCCGAGCATCATGAGCGGAATGAGGAAGTACAGCGCGAAAGGCTTGAAGCGTCCAGTGTAGCGGATAAGCAGACCGACAACGATGCCGAAGAAGCAAGAGCCTGTGCGGTAGATGTTGATGATGTACGTCGTCTTCTCGACACCCTGGTTCCAGACGACTAGGAGCATCGAAGAGAAGTAGGCGCCCCAAATGCCAGAATTGAAAAAGACAAACGTGAACATGAGCCCACCGCAGAGCACGGTCCGGTCGGCAATCAGCTCGAAGGGAATGAACGTGACGGGAGCGAAAAACTTTTCGTAGCAGACAAAAACAACGATGAGCACGGCGCCGACGACAATCATGCTGATAATCATTGGGCTCTTCCAGCCTTCAGACTGGTACGAGTAGATGTTGAAGGGCAGCAGGAAGAGTGCCATGCCAGAAGCAAGAAGCAGGAGGCCAACGGCATCAATATCAATCAGATAACGTCCGACAGACTTGAGCGTCAGGTTCTTGATAGTGCTTTGCTCAGGAAGCAGGCCCATCTTCTTGGCTTTGTTCTGATTCCAGAAGAAAAGGAATATCAGTGGCAAGACGACGACTGGTGTCGTGATGGCCCAGACTCCAAAACCCCACTCCCAGCCAGGGCCAGCAAGAACGCTGTCGGCAATAGGGCCGGCGGCCCATGTAGTGAAGATATAAGGCGAGGAGGCAAATGCCAGCATGAGTGAGCGATTCTTGAGAGTCGACGTGTCGGCGATGAAGACTGTCAGACAGTAGCTGACACCCTGCGCACTAGAAATCATCAATCCATTAGCGCTGGCTGGTAGGGGGACAAGGCAACTTACCCAACGACAGCGAATACTTGTGCAGCAGCGTACGTCTCCACGTTCTTACAAGCAGCCATCATGACAAAACCGAGCACCCAGACGAGTAGCATCAATGCGAGACCGTGGGGACGACCCCATGTGTCGAGAATCTTTGCCAGAGGAAGTTTGGAAAGACCGCCGATGATGCTCGCCATGACGGATGTTGTCGCTGTCAACGAGTGCATCGAGAAACTGCTTGTGACAAACGGCGTCAAGGCCCGAACAACGACCTCTTGAAGCGAGAGAATAACGTAGATGAACCAAATGCTTTCGAGTGTTAGATTGTAGTCCGCGTGAGACTGCGCCGCCCGTGCGCCTGTTTACCACTCACGTTACATATGCCAGGGCGAGATGCCAGTTACTCCAGACCATGGCCGTTGCCTCGACTTTTCGAACACCGGCTTGGACGCCCTCGGAGAACCCCTCTTCGATGGTGAGGGGGCTGATCTTGAGATCATCGGAGTTGTGCTTTTCATTGTGAGCCGCCTCCGCTGCCGCTTGAGATTCGGCCGCAGGACTTTTGGGAGTCGACACGTCCATGGTTGCTGGGATTTGCTGCCAAGCAGAACAGCGAGGTGATGCCGTCGAGATCAAAAAGGTCGGCGCTCTGTGGTGTTGTGTCGTGTTATCCGCTGTAACGAGTGAGTGGCTTGACAAATGGACAGAGATCGGACACTAGCAACATGGGCATCTGCCAGGGGCGCCACAGGGATGATATATGAAGACGCGCCCAAGGGCCAAGGCCGAGCCGCTATCGGCTCGGGCGGGCGAAGGACCCTGGGCGAGGATCTTGCTAGTGCGGAAGGGACGGTCACTTGCAGGTCCAGGGTTTGAAAACAGTTCGCCAGCTACTATCCTTGGTTAGCCCACTAAACCGCCAAAGAGTTTCTGGCTGGCCAAGGAGAATCAGCACACCCATCGGGTTGGGTGGGGACGCTGTGTTCGAGAATCGGCTCAGAAATCCGTATTGGGCAGACGGTGGAAATGAAGTAGGCAACCTCTTCGTGCCAACCAACCTGTGCCTCACGTAGCGCCCCATGATGTGAGAAGGCGTCGTAGCTTGCCCGATACTCATCCCATGGCTCGTTGTCTTTTGGTGTCACTGGCTCTCAGATCCAACCCGTTGATGCTTGAGCGGAGAGTTCCAACATCGACGAGACCAGGCTTGGCATGCTTGTTGCCCCCCTAGGCAGATTCTGCTTCCTCGTGCGGATCGAGTCAGAATACGGGACAACGAGCCGAGGGTGAGTGGATGACACAGCGAAGCGAGCGCTGTTAGTCCAAGCAATCATCAGGCTGGAAAAAGTCTTTGGGTGTGCAGGCCAGGATCAGCATGCCTCGGAATCTCCTCTGGGATTGGCCTATGGTCGGCTGGGTAGAAGCGGGGTTCGAGCTTGGGCCGGTGCAAATTTTATCAGATTCATCTTATCAGATCATCTGCCCCGCTATTCATGTGACTTTGGCGTTCCTCGGCCCGCGCGACATGGCGAGGCGTGACTAGGTATTCTGCAGACACTGACAAAATCAGGCTGCCTATATCACATTGGGTCTGTGGCTTGTCGAATCTCCATAGTCGGACGTTGAAAATGACGCATGCAAGGCACCTTGAGATCTCGAGGACTCGAACCAGCGTGCTTAATATTCCAACTCATCGCGAAAGGCTTGTAAAACTGCATGGCTTCGCGTGAGCTTACTCCTTCACGGATGAAAGTTTTGTGTAAGGTACTTGAATCCAGAAGATATCCGGTGGCTGCCGGTTGGTGCTTTGACGATTGCCTATGCCAGGTGCCCAGCTGCTGACGAGTCATAGACGTAGGCCCGCTTGCCAACAACATCGCAACGTAACAGGTGGTCAACGGATCAGGCATAGAGTGGCAGCTCATACGGATTGAAGATTCGTGCTTTCATCGCCGGCGGTCCCGCAAGTCTCAATATGTCGCCGGCTGGCCATTCAAGTTTGAGAACACAGAATCAGCACCTTACTAGGCTCCTTGTTCGGGCAATGCCCCACCACTTGCTGACTTCCTCAGCATCAAGGCGTGCAGGCAAGGCTCGCGATACGAGTCGACTGACTTATCAGGGGCTAACTGCTAGGGTGGATGATACCAATGTTCACCAGAGCGACTGGCGTCCAGTTGGATCGGACGCCGCAGACCCTTTGCCAAGATGTTGGGTCTTGGAACTATTGCGTCCCGTGTGCCCTGTCGTGCGCGAAATAGACTTTGCGGTTGGTGGCGTGCCATCCGCTGATCTTGATTGAGCGGATTACACATAGCAACTCACATAGGGCGGTTTGAGCCAACTGCGGCTGATTCATGAGTACGCCAAGCTAGCAAGGGAGCTCGGCTCCGAATAGGCCACGGAAACCGAGCTTGATGTAGAGTTACGCTCAATGATCTCCTGAAAGCCATCAATATTTTGACCCAAGTAGGTTTAGACGTAGGCCAAGATGTGTGGTCAGCATGAGTTCCAAGTGCTCTGCACCAAAGCAAACTGCCTACCTTCTCAGGTGAGATAAGCAGCGTACTATGTATTGCCATTTTTCTAGTCTGGAGCCAAGTATTCTTCTAAGATTATGTACTTCAAAGCACCAGGATACCCTTCAATGGTAGATCTCGGCTGCTCTTGCCAACGGAAACTCTGTACTCCCCCTCCTGAAGATGCCACTTTTGTGCCTCTACATTCCATACACTAAGATCTCTACGTCTCAGGGGGAATTTGATAGTAGCGGTCTCACCTACTTTTATCAGTTGCTTCTCGAAACCTCGGAGCTGCTTTAGTGGCGTATGCTCATCACCGGGAATGCCGAGATATAGCTGCGCGACCTCCATTCCGTCGACCTTTCCGCTGTTTGTTACGTCCGCTTCCACGATGACTAACTCATCCCACAGATCTTTATTCCCTCCCTCAATAACTGGGCCCGTCGGATATGCACCCAAGCTACCATTGGTCTTGGAGATTTTGAGAAAAGAGTAGTTGAAAGTTGTGTAACTCAGACCAAAACCAAATTCGAAACGTGGGTCGACCTTCTTAGAGTCGAAATCACGGTAATCCACGAAAGTACCCTCCACAAAGTTAGACTGGGGATATGTCCGAAACCGACTAGGCGCATCTCGAGACGTGTAATAAGGCTTCAGTAAATCGCCGTAGTCGGACTCGTTACGGGCAACAGTATACGGAAGACGGCCGGAGAAGTTTTCCTGGCCATAAAGGAGTGAGATCAATGCCCTTCCACTATCTTGGCCCGGAAGATGAGCAAAGATTACAGATGTGACGTTAGGGTGTTCGATGAAGGAGTCGACGAGGCGTGGCCCAGCATTATGGAATACCACAATCGTGTTGGCACACTTGTTGGCCACATTTAAGATGAGCTTGTCAGTGTACTGGTCGCGCAGCGATGGGCGATCATACCCTTCTGTGGCCCAGACGTTACCGATGACAATGCAGGCATCAGAATTTGGGTTGACAGAAGGATCTCCGGACTCAAAGTCATGGTAAAGAGCGGTTCCATCCTCGTAAGCCTGGGCTACGAGAGCATCGTAGGGGGCGCTGATCAAGCTCCACGAGGGCGCCGCCGAGCCACCAGCAGAGATGAGAGTTCCGTTGATTGCAATGTCAGATGTCGGAAGATCGAGGTTACCGAACCAACCCAGGTCGACCTCTGTGATGTTGGCGGACTGGATGCCCATCTCCCATGATGCGAATCGGGTACCGTTCGCTGCAGGGACTGGCGTGTTACTGCTGGGTGCGCGGGCGGAATAGCCAAAGAGAGAGATCAGCTTCATGTTTTCGGAGCGCAACGGTAGCGCATTTTTCTCGTTCTTGACAAGAACATGGCCCTCAACCGCGCCGTCGAAAAGAGTCGGCTTGGAACATTTCGTACGAGCATCGACAATAGAGTGCGGCTCCCAGAGCCTTTGAGCCATGCCATTACCAGCTTTGGGAAAGCCTTCGGCGTTCTGCTTTAGGTGGAACCAGGATGCGATAAGTCTGGGCTAGCCAGTCAGCTGGATCACACCAAGGGTTTACGAAACACTCACCTGGTCGCCATGTTATCAATCTGCGCCTCTGGAAGAGATCCGTTGCTAACTGCCTCGACCAGTGATGATCCAAATTTGCCAGCGCCGTTAGGCATAGCCACGTCAAGTCCGCTCAGTGCAGAGGCAACACCTCCCTTCATTGCGCCCAGTCGCTCACGATCCATCCCTGCAATAATGAGCATACTAAATGACACAAGATTTGAGTCCGATGGACGCACCTGGAAGCCAAGCTCCTCCTTAAGTAAGCCATTTTGCGACTTGCTATTTTGACAGGCGTAAGAGTTGTTGAGTCTGTTGTAAGAGCACATGATATTGGCCGTGCCAGCGTGAACTGCGTCGTAGAAAGGCCTGAAAAGGTCAGTTAAGCCTTGCTTGATCGAGGAGGGCTGGTGTCACCAGAGATAGAGCTCATGCATAGTACGATCATCCACATTGGACGAGATAGCCTCCTGAAAAGGACCATCGTCTCGAGTGGACAGTCTGTGTGTCTCCTGCTCTTGGGCGATGAAGTGCTGTGTGTTGTTAATCATCAGTTGTAACGCTAAAGGGCCACGCCACAAACCTTGGTGCTGGTCATCACTCCGTTCTCCTGAATTCCCTCCACTGTTTCATGTACTAGACGACCACTTAGATAAGGGTCAACAGAAAAAGCTGGGATTCAAGTCAGCCACTCAAATTGTAACCATACTCCGGATGGCTATTACCCTCCCAGTTTCGACCAGCAGTTAAAATGCGGCCGATAGGACCGATAGAAGGGCCAAGGAGCACACTGACACCCTTGATCTTAGCTTCTCGGCCCATGTGGTATGCCCTTCTATGCGCGAGCTCCTTGTTCCAGCTTGCTCCGACGTGGATTCCCGGTGGGAAGGCACTGACGTAGTCAGTTCCACGTACGCTGTTGCCCGAGTCCACGAGGCACATCCCAGGAAACCCAAGTCGAGGTATGCCGGGAATCCAACCGCTGCAACCAGTACTAGAAGTAGTGCCCGCAGTTAAGTTTGCCTGCCAAAGTCAGCGGCCTTTGTACTGTTAGCCGACAGATTGTTGTACCTTTTCTTCCAAAGTCATCTGGTTGATGAGAGTCTTGGCCTTGGCAAGAGCATCTGACCAAGGGCCATCTGGTGATAGCTCAGGGGTAGGGTACACTGCGGGCGCCTGTCCAAAAAAGAAAGAGTCATCGACGATAGGTTCGTCTTGAGCCACGACCTGGGAGATAGCTGCGAGGCCAAGAAGGCCCGAAACCAGACTTTTCAACATGGCGCGTCAGATGTTCAGCTCAAGGCACAGTACCTACAAGGGGTACGAGCGAACAAAGCCGATAGAGATTTGGGACTAACTAAACGAAGGACACGACCGTGGTCTTTATATTGTCACTATGGCCTGCGAACCTGGCGAATGCCTCACCTCCACCAACGCCACCTGGGTTGATCAAGCCATGATCTCTGATTAGGACGCCAACTTGCCAAGACACCGTGAGATGCCGGCGCTTGAAGAAGAATGGTGGGGGGCTGCATCTCCAGCTGCATGTTATGAGTTGACGAGGATAGCACAAGATTCGAGGCTGCCAGTGACGCCCGTGACGGAACTGACTTACTACAGGGAAGTACATGATCAATCCCAGGATCTCGTTATTCGGCCCTTCTCACACACAAACCAGTCTTGATTCCGTCATGTCACTTCGATGCCGTACACGGTAGACATGAGCCATTAGCCGAAGGGTTGGCATACGCCAGGATTGCTGGCAGGTAAAGCGAGCGCAGATCGACTGCCAAGACGTCAGCGACATCCGGTGGTTCCACAGTGCGAAGGTTTATAGCATCCGGAGTTCGTCATGGGGGCAGGTCGTGGAGGGCGGAGGGGGGGACTGGCTGCATGGGAGACGAGCTGAGAGTTTCGTAAGGCATGGCGATTCTGGGGAATCCTTAGCTGATCGCTGCTGCGGACCAGGGGTCCGTGATATCGCAGTAGCTCGGCCTGCGGCAGACCTCTATATTTTCGGTCGGCAGTTATCCACGGGTCTACGTTTCGGTCTGTCCGTTCATGTATTGCATGGTGGATAAGCTGAACCTGGAAACGGGCACTGCAATACCTTGAAAATTAATATCAACCTTTTTTTCCGTTGGTCATGCCATAATCATCGATTCAGGATGAGTGACTCCTACACTCCTACACAGGGTTTCTTGCCTGGTGACAGATGGCTGGCGCACCACTTGTCTCCCCCCCCCAAAAAGTGCACACACCCAACTTGCACTGACGATGACTTCTGTCATGAGTCAGAGATATGTCACGGAGCCAGTGCCATAAAAGGCCCGAAATTTGTGGCCCTCGATCTTGGATACCCCAGAAAGATCAGCACAAGAAATCGCAACCCCTGCCAGCTCTCGATGCCCGAGCTTTCTCCGCTGGGTCTGGCTACTAATTGTGGGTTGTCAGTGGTCTTCCATGGCGGTGATGCTCGCTTAAGCCCTGCAGCGTACTTGTGGAATATTCGATGGCTCGGCAGGCGTGCGGTCTTCTAGCCGTACCGTGGATCCCACAACAGACCTTCTCCACCACTGTGCGGTTCGCCGGGGATTCTTATTTGATGGTAATAAGGCAGGCTATCCTTTCACAGGAGGGATAAGGAAAAGTTCAATTATCTGACAACGGCAATTAATCCTCACCCCCGTGAAGCTCCCGAGATGGTCTGTGATAAATCAGGGAGGTGGTGACAGAGAGTTCGTTGAACATGGCCAAGCGTCATCATGCTACGCCAAGATAGGCGACTTGATAATCTGAAGTGACAGTAGCAGAGCATTGTTTCGCTTACCCAAGATTCTGTGCGAGCGAATACAGATCAAGATAAATTTCCGAGACTGATCCTGCCAGACCGGGTTGTTTTTTCAGTTGTTTTCCGCTGATGTGAAGGAGGCAATCTAGACAGACCATCAAAGCTATGAACAATAAGTACCATACGTACTCTTACCAATGCAGGTTGGCAAGAACACCACGCCTCCGCATGGTTTGGACCCGGCGTTTGTCGTTCTGCCCATCCTCCTCATCGTCATTGCCAGCGTTGCCGTTATCAGCACCGTTGCCAGCTCCGTTGCCAGCTCCATTGCCGGCGCCATTGCCAGCTCCATTGTCATCCCCATTGCCAGCTCCATTACCATTTCCATTGCCGGCACCGTTCTCGCCATCGTTGTCGTCTCCGGCGTCACCTGCATTGCCAGTGTCGTCTGCGCCGCCAGCCTGACCATTGCCAGCATCGTTACCAGCATCGTTGTCGTTGTTCTGACCGGCGTTGCCATTTCCTTGACCAGCATCGTTGTTGTTGTCGTTGTTCTGACCGGCGTTGCCATTTCCTTGACCAGCATTGCCCTCGCCAGCATTCCCCTGGCCATTGTTGCCGTTGTTTTCGTTACCATTGTTTTCGTTGCCGTTGTTTTCGTTGCCGTTGTTTTCGTTGCCGTTGCCGTTACCATTGCCATCGGCCGCGGCAGGGGGTGTCGATGGAGCAGCGGCACCACAGTCGGCCGTGTTTGTCGCAGCGGCCTCCCCGGGGTGCGGCAGCGCCGCCGGCACCAGCATTGTTGTTCTTGCCTGCTCCATCTTGCTTTTCCCTTTCCTTGATTCTTTCCCTGGCCTTTGCCCTGGTTCTTTCCCTGGCCATTGCCCTGGTTCTTGCCCTGGCCCTTGCCCTGGTTCTTGCCCTGGCCTTTGCCCTGGTTCTTGCCCTGGTTTTTGCCTTGACCTTTGCCACCATTGGCAGGTGGAACCTCCGTGCCATTGTTTGCAGCTCCGCCGCCGACGGCCCCGCCTGGAGCAGCAGCTTCACCACCACCACCGGCACCTGCTTTCCCTTGCTTTCCCTTGCCTCCTAGAAGATCATCGAGAGCCCCACCTGCAGCTCCTTCTGGGTTGGGTTAGCTCGGTATGTTGTGAATGAGAAGGACTTTGCTCACCATTCTTCTTGCCGGCTGCACCTCCACCTAGAAGACCGTCAAGAGCGCCACCAGCTCCAGCTAGACATTTGTCAACACTGCGACTTGAGATGGCCAAACATAGGGGCTCTCACCGTTATTCTTGCCACCAGCAGCCCCATCACCGGCCCCGTTGCCAGCACCAGCGGCACCGCCAGCACCAGCACCAGCAAGAAGACCGACAAGCTGGTCGAGCTGCCGAGGCGCTACCTGGCGCTTTTCTTTGGTGGCTGTTCCTGCGTTTCCGGTTTCGTAGTGAGCGATAGCCAATCCGTTAAAGGCAAGTGCGGCCACAACGGCATGACGGAGAGAAAGTGTCGAAACCATGTTGAAAGCTGTGAGACAATTGAAATGCAAGAGTTGCGGAAGTTGAAAAGCCACAAAGATATCCAGGCGTCAAGCCTTGAATGCGAAGGAATGGAAAAGTCTACCTGTAGACTGTTACTGACGGAGTGGAAGGAAAGACAAAAAGGACAATAGTCTGCATGTCGCTGTGAGGACTACCTGGATGGACTGGAAATGTGCAGGTTAAGATGGCTATTTAAAGGACAATGTGTTCGCGGAGCAATGAGTGATGGACTGATCTACTTTACCCCCTTCCCCCTGGCCCCTCCGCCCGTCTGATGACCATAGTGGTGGGTAGGTGATTGTAGCGGCAACTCTGGGAAGGGCCTCATCTCTCCCCTCCAAGAGATCATCGTAGTAGGCTGGGATAGGGGATGGGATTTGGTAGCGAAGCACATGTGAGTCTGGATTGCGGTCGATGTGTTTGGGATGTGCTACCAGCGTGCGACAAAGGGCGTGAATGGTGTGGAGGACCAGGGGGTCGAGCGTTTAGCCTCATCAAGAAAGAAAACCACGAGGGATATTGAGTCGTGAATGAGACTGGACGAAACATGGCGGCAACACCTACAAACACGAACCCCTGCTTTCCAACTGTTCAAGGCGTATCAAACTCAGACTGCTATGTTGCGCTGATGTGCGCTATGAAAGTCAACAATTGAGTCACGCTGGATAGGTTGGACGAAAGTTCTCACTCGAAAGCTTAGCGTCGATCAAGTGTCAGAAGACTTTTCCCCGGTCGACCAGGCGCAAAACAAGCTTGGAACCCCAGCTTCTCTGGGAGCTGAAGCCTTTGTCTGTGGGGCGCAGCTAGCGTGTTGGCCGTGCCCATGTCGGGGCTTCGTTTCAGAATCCCCGGACCACCGAGTCCCGAGCGGCTCCGCCAAGGCCTGATGCCCCGTCCTCCCCGACACGCCAGAGAGGTTCGACGAACCGTGACAAGCCAATTCGATCCGGCGTAGTCGGCGATTCACGCAATCGACAGTCTGTGGGCCGGCCGTCTTCGTGCTGGTCCTCTCATGACGCTCCGGTAAGGAAACAGGCGCAACGGCGTCGATCGGCTGACGACGCCTCGGATCATCGGCCGCAGGTCTATCAGAGCGTTCTGTGTTTCGCTGACTTTAACATGAGCTTCGCAGCTTCGTGTGATCGTCAGTCCGAGATGTGTTATCAGCTTTGGTAAACGAGGCTGTTACCCATTACGTGGAGATGAATGAGTCTTTCGATGAGAACCGGTCTCGACTTGTGCAAGTATTAGATAAATTGCCACGTACTGAAAGGTGTTTGAGCTGCCTGGATGACAAAGATGGGAAGACAAATAGATCAACGCCAAGACTCACGCGGGTTAAGCGTTGGGCTGGTGCCTTGGCAGATCTGCCAACCGACGGTCTGATCTGCGTTCCAGGACTTCGTGATCATGGACCGATCAATGGGACAGCGATTGCCGATCAGCTCAAGACCAAATATAGTGACAAGTCAGCTGTGAAAGATCCGCTTGACCCAACACATGGGATCAATCTGTGACGTTCAATGTCAAAGGCTCAAAAGCTTGGCATGCACCGCATCTCGTGTTTGGTGATGAGAGGGAAACCCAGTATTTTCAAGGTAAACCTCTGATTTGAGGCGGTCCTGACCAGCACCGCTGTATGTTCTTTCCAACCTACACCAAGTCGCGTCATTCAATGGCAGAGACATCAGATACTCAGAGGAGCCAGTTGAAGCCACAATTCTCAGGAACTGAACCGTACGCCGCCTGATAGGAAATATGTCCAAAAAAAAAAAAAAAAAAAAAAGAAGAAAAAAAGAAAAAAAGGAACCAAACAGCACAGCAAACTGACCTTCTCCGTGATTCATCCTACCCAGCAGGCTCGGGCCTGGACACAAACCGCAGCGGCCTCAGTCGGCCATACCTGTCGCATGCGGCAAATTTCCACCAGTCTCTATGCAACCAGAAGACAACAGTTCTACAGATGAATTTGACAACTCCTGGCGCAGGGGGCCATTTTGACCAAATTCCTCCTTCGAAAGTTATGTCATGGTTTGAGAAGCACCACGGTAATCCGGCCACAAGGCCCATTTCTTTCTGTTTGAGACTCTTCAGTCTTGGGTAACAACAGTATTGCAACAGGCATACGAACCATGTTCTTCTTGCCGTCTTCAGCAAATCTATTCTCCATTCGCCCCATCTTCTGCGCACCAAAGCTCTGTAAACCGACGATGGTTGGAATTTCCTCGGTAAGGTGTTGCACCAAAACTCTGCCGAAAGAGTCAATCAAGGATACAATCCTGTTTCCCGAGAACTGAATTGGGTCATTGGCGCATTGTTTGAGATAGAGATGGAATGTGGCGAGCCCTTCTTGGAATGCATGGTGCTGTTCTACGTTTCCACTCATAATGCCCGTTTCGCCAGAAATCTTCTCGATGAGGGGGAAGAAGTCAGATTCTTCACACGAATGGTGCAGATGCACCAACTTATACCATATCAGGCTATACTGAATGAAAGCTGGCACCTCCAGCAACGGGATATTTGGCGCTTGGAGGTATATCGAGTTGAGGCCGCGGACGATCATGTTATGAACGCACGCCATCTCGCCAGCGACACACTCGAACATATCGGGCTTCACACATTAGTGAAGAAGTCGTTTATCACGACTTGGATATACTGACCTCGAAGGCTTTTGAAAGCTTCTTCCCTTCGTACGCCGGAGACGCGATGAGGGGGAACGGATGATCAGCATAAACGTTTGCCATAGCGAGGAACAGAATAATACTGGGAAGTGAAGTTCAGACAGGACAGTTGGGAGAACCCTCGCTTGATAACCTGGACCTCGTGCATGCTGTAGACTCGCTCTTTGTTCTCAGCCGCACTTGATTGTGAGACAAACTCTTCAGCCGTCAAGCTAAGGTTTGGTGATTGCTATGGCTAGGTAACAATCCAATCCTGCGCGAGGCAATATCTCCAAGTGGAGGGTAATTGATTGGCGTTTACCCAGGTTGATCTTCAGCGTGGCGCGCTAAAGCTTGACCCAGAGCTTTACATAACAAGGACTGTTCGCTCAATAGCTCAAGACGCGTCGAGGCGCCCGGAGGCATGCTTCTCATCAGAATTCTGAATGAATGGCTAGCTAGGCATTGGGAGCGGGGTTGGTGGGGAACATAACCAGTCTAGGCAAGAGATGATTAGGCCTGGTACAAGGCTTGGATTTTGGTGATAGAGAACACGACAAGATGGCAATCACAGTGACCGCTTTTGGTAGCCTCAGAGGTACGAAGGCACGAATCTTGGAGATTCAACGTCGACTCGAGGAAGGCATAAAGCTTGTACGACCTGGAACAGACACAATGTCGGCGACAAACGTATTTTGAGAGTGAAATTGTGGTATCCATTTGGTTTCAAAGCAACATGTTCTAACGAGTGAATTTGGCTTGCAAGCATGTGGCGAGCAAGTACTTCAGCAGCGTTACCCTTCATAACGCCTGTCATCAATCAGTCGTTGGGCATACGACAACAATTGTGTTGCGCAAGAACCGTCGCAGCCCTGGTATCTGGTGAAAATAAAATGAAGATGAAAAGTCGAGGATTGTAGTCTTAAGCCATTGCAGCCTCTTCGGCAGCCCCCGCACCCTGTTTGTTCTTGCGGCGGAAGATATTTTTGACATCGTCGCGGAACCGTGTCGGTGGCGAGCTGAACTTTGCCTCGTAGGCATCAACGATAGGTCGCTCCCAGATGAGGTCGGCCTCGTGAGGACGGACGATGCGCGAGCGCTTAAAAAGCTTCCATCCAGTGAATGTAATGATGGCGACAAAGACCATGGTGTAGTAGGAGAAGAATGTGAGGGTGTCCCAGTTTCCTGTGAGGAAAGTGGTGTACCCGAAGGTGAGGACCATTAGAGTCATCCAGAACACACCAATATAGGCGCAGTATGGTTGAAACCATCCCGTGTAAGGTAGGGTCTTCCGGTCCAACCCTTGGGCCTCGCAGGCGCGGTAAAAACAGATGTATGTGACACTGATCACGATGTAGTTGATCAGACCAGATGCCGACGTCAAACTCTGTAGCTTCGTCACGACACCGGCTGTGTCGCCCGATACCTGGAGGAACGAGATGAAGGGAAACACCATGACAACGGCAAAACAGTAAACGGGAATACCGTTGCTGAGACACTTCTTCAGGAAGCTCGGGGCCTGCCCCTGCAGGGCAAGTCCATACAAGCAGCGCATTGCGCAGTACGTGTAGGCATTGCCGGCACTGAAAATACTGGTGCAGAGCAGAGCATTGACCACATGGGGAAGAACCCCGACTCCCATGTTCTTCATGGCGATGACGTACGGCGAGCCGTTGGCGGTGCCGGCTCCGGCGTTGTCGAGATCCGGGTCATTGTAAGGGAGGACGATGGAGACGCACAGGGCGCCGCCGATGAAAAAGAAGCCGAAGCGCCAATACACAGACTTGAAGCCCTGCTTGAGATAGGTCCGCGGACGCTTGGCCTCACCGGCGACCATGGATAGATATTCAGGGCCGACGACGGTAAAGCATGCCGAATAAAGGGCCGCTAGGTAGCCCTGGAAGCGACCGAGGTCGCCCGTGGTCTGATAGGCGGCGAAAGCGCCAGGATTCTTCCAGTATCGGAAACCGTAGGCATCATTATCGGGGTTGCCACCGACCATGGTCACGAAGGTGAAT